TGAAGTGAAAATAAATGGATGTGAAATGAGAGACAGGGTTGAAAGAGCACAGGAGAAATATTTGCAGCTGGAATGACAACCATAGTTGCTAAAAGAACTGTAATGTGTTAGAAATACTGGCAGCATTTCCACAGTAAATTCACTTTCTCCACCTATTTCCTGAGTGATGAGCAGCCAGAGCCAACAACACTGTGTCCAAATCCACTTCCCAGCTCAAGCCAAGTTCAGGTGACGGTTCAGTGCGGCGTTATGTAAGCATCGCAGGAATGCTTTCTGTCGGACTGTAACGAGCTGAGGGGGAATTGAGCAGGAGAGTCCCCATAGGTCCACCGAATTCCTGCAGCCGTGGAAGCTTCTACATCCAAATCCCTCTCTACCGCTGTGTGGTGGAGTAACAATGAAATACCTCACTCTGCTGCAGCCTTTGAAGTCCTATTCAGGTCTGACTGTGTGTCGGGCTACTGTTGTTGCATGCCATTCCTCACACAATGAGCCGTGTTATGTCACTGTAACCCCTGACCAACCCCGTGAGGTGTCACACCATAATCATGTCAGCTCAACCAAATGATTTCTGCTTTGACAAGTTTAAAAAAGTCAGAGTGGTTGCAAGGCAGAAACCACCAGCATGTGAATGCCTAACGCCAGCGGCTCTCAAATATATCTGTAAATGCTTTTTTTTTGGTCAATTACTGACAGCCAACAGGTGAAATCACTCCGAACAAAAGACTTTTACGAGGTAAAAAAGGATAAAGATGATGGCAAGGTGTTTACTGATTGTCAGACCATGGCATGATGGATCCTGTTACGAAGACCACAAAAAAGCAAGAGGTAGAAGTTAGGTCATGGCCTCAGCAGCAGCTGTCCTACACCTTGAAACTGTTCCGTGGAAAATGTGTTTGTTTCTCTTCATGGTGGACCTCTGCCAACATTGTTCGTGTTGATATCAGAGATCCAGCCCCAAATCAATCTTAGTTTTCTCCTGCTGTACATTGATACCCCTCATGCTCTGCAATGCTGAAACAGAAAGTACAATTATTCACTGTGGCACTAATACCATGCTTTGTAAGAGGCCACTGATGAGTGCTGGAGGAAAGCGGCTAAAACATATAGGATGTGTATTTGGAGCGTGGCAGCAGCGTTGCGTATCATGTATGGTGAGCAAGGAGCACTTTGATCTTGGCTTTGCTCTGCAGGCATAACATTCATATTGTTTTTTTAAATCAAATGTGGTACCACTGTCACATGTTTGCACCTGTTAGCCATTGGAAATGCTATAGAACAGTATTAGAGCTAGAGCACAGTGCTGCACTATCAGAAACTGATTTGCCAAACAACAATGTTGTGACAACAAACTCTGAATGCAGATAATATTTCATTGCCATGCATTAATCTAGTATTTTTCAGTCAAATGATCTCCAGATGTGATCATGCAGATCTGCTCACAATAAAAAGTAATTATCAAAACACTTTCAGATCCAGATTCAATTTTCAAACCAGGTTTCATTGTGCTTTTTGTGTCTGTGGCACAAATAGGAATGGGAACAGCTTATTGAGGCTGTTGCCATAGCAACAATGTGCTTGAGTATTGATTAGTAGTGATGTGCCACTTTCAATTACGCACTAATGTGTAGATTAGAGGATGTGTGTGAGGAAGCTGCTTTACTGCCCTGAGGGTGATGCAGATTCCATTAGTTTTTCAACTGTTGGATCGACATCCTGCCATCATTCACTTCCATATAATGGCTGTGTAATAATTTTGCTTTCAAAGTTGCACTCACTCACTAAACCACACACAGGAGATAACAGCTCTGCTTCTTCACAGGCATGACAAAAAGGGAGACAAATGCAGACAGACTTTGATGACAGGCAGGAAATGAAAGTGAGTGTGTCGCATGAGGCAAAAATAGAACATAGAGGCATCTTATTGATTCTCAGATTTCTCACATACAGGGGGGAAAAGTGAGAATGATGAAGACAGGAAGGGCCCCAACATCCAGAGAGATGACTTTGCATCCATCCAGGGTGAAAGTGAATGTACAAGTTTGGTTGGAGAAGAAACTGAGCCACAATTCCTCCTCCTCACTTTCACTCTTCATCATAAGAGGTAGACTGGAGAGGAAAACAGATACTGGGATGTCTGTGCGTCAAGGGAGCGCAGACAAAATCCAGCAGAGCATGCAGTTTCATAGACAATAGAGGGCCTCTGTGTTGAGTTGGACAGTGCAAAAAGGTCAGCTGTTCAGAGCTGTTGGATGTGGAGAAAAGGGGAAGCTGTAAATGCAAATAACAGGATCAAAGGTCCTATATGTTTTTTTGTTTTTGTTTGACTGAAATTTACACCAGTGCCTTTTTTATAACAGAAAACAAGACCATCAAGGACAGGACTCTGTAGGTGCTCCATGTAAGAAATCAACTGTAGTTATTCAGTGTAACTATACGCTAATTGGATTGGACCTCAATACAAAGAGCCAAAATTGACCACCCTTGATTTTTAGGTGTCCCTGATGTTGTTATCCTTCATGGGAAACTTGCTCTTTGGGCTGCTGGGGGGATTTCTGCCACAAACCTTTAAGTTGCTGCTGGACAAAACTGGAAACTGAGCTGTTTGGCACCATTTTTAGGGTTTTGATATACATAAGTTCCAGGGTTTTCGAGGTATTCGGTGGCCCTTAATGTCCATCATATGTCTTGGCTGTTTGATGACAAAAACAATCTCAAAAACTGATGGCTGCAGCCTTGGAACAACTTGTGTCATGCCTACTTGCTTACATTTGTTTGCATGAGTAGGTTCATACAGCATAAAAAGGAAAACAGACACATAACACACTGGAACAACAGTGGACAGGAATACTTGACAAGGATACTGTAATACATGGCAAAATACAAGGTCATGAATACTGAATAAAGAAATGATTTGATGAGCAGACGAGCAGGTGTTGCATCCCCAAATAGTGCAAAAACAAATAGGCTGTCTGTTGGCAGAGTAAAGTAAAAACTAGTGAAATTACATGGTGGAGACAGTCCCATCTGCAAAAAATTGAAGCATATCTAGGCTTCTGCTAAGATCCTGCTCTGACTAGCTACTGCACTTATTAGTCACATGTAAACTCACTTCAAAAAAGTGAAATATCCCTTTAAGCGTGTTAGGTAACCTGGTACAAAAAACAGTGTTGGTCTACATATGTCATGTCTTTATTTGTGACAACTAAACAGGGTTTAATTTCTTAGCTCTTCCTTTTTAAATAATTAGAGTCCACCATCCTTGAGCTTAACACGCCTCTTCAAATACCAACGGGTGACTTCACTGAGATGACCTCCATGTTTTCCAGTCTTTGGTTTTAACAGCTTGAATGGAACGACACTTGTAATGTTGTTGTTGGGTTTTTTTAAATACTAACCTGTTTCACATTTTCTTTAAAGTAAACAAAACAATAAGTCATGAGTATAAAATAAAGACTGAAGATTTTGTGTCTCAGATTAAGACAAGGAGACAGTTTTTCTAAAGGGCCCCAGTCAAAACACAAGGGCGCTATTAATAATTCAAGATGTGACCAAGTAAAATAAAGGCCTGTAAAAGGTTTTGTCTGGAGTCAGTTGGATTCCTGCTTTGTTTTTGCAAAGTAAAACAAGCTGCCTCTGGTTTTAATTGGGACACGGCCTGATAGGCATTCAGCAAACACTCATACCAGAATACTTATGTTAGCAGGATCAAGTTTTGACTATCTTTTATAGTTGGCTCCCCAAACGTATCATGGAAATTCAACACATACGCCTCATGTGTATCTTGACTCTGTTAAAACCTGAATGTGCTCCTCCAAAGCAAACTGACCTGAATATTCTGGTGTTTAAATCCCTGAATATTTAGATTTAGACGCAGGTTCTCCGTTTGAATTACATGAAGTCATTTCCCTTTTATTTTCCATCATCACTAACATGGCTGAACGGACACACTTAGTGGAGTACTTTCCACTGCTCACATTCACAGCGTCAGCTATTTATTCAGCAGGCTTGTTACTCCGGCAATTTGGGGTAAGTGCTGCTAGTCAAGGTTATCCAGTAATTTCAATCCAAGCAGGGTTTCCTGACAGTGTCATCTGTAACTTCATGGGAAGTCCAACCCTCCATTAAGGTGTGAAATGGCTTTTGAATCATAGCAACACCTATTTCAATGAGATCCAGATAGATAACCATGTGGCTAAAACGTTTATGGATTACACCTATTACTTCACTGTCTTGCAAACACCTCGCTGTGTTAAATACTTGATTCTGATTGGCCAAAATGGTAGAGACAAGCATGTCATATTCAATCAATCCATTTAAAGGGCTCAGGCACATTTTATCTCTGCTCATTGACACTGAGGTATATGCGTTAGTTTTCACAGGCCTCACTGGTATCCACTGCGGTAAAAATGTTAGTTATCATTAGCATACAAAATTGGTGAGCTAGACAGAATGGATATTTTAATATGAGGCAAAGCTCTAAGAAGAAAGAGAGCTGAAATAGAACAAAAGTCAACACTTACATTCTGTCAGAAGACCTGCCGTGTTGTTGAATGACAATGCAATTGTCAATGCAACTCTTCAATTCACCCCGCCCCCTTTCCAAGATGGCAGCATGTGTGGTGTCTTTGTTCAGTCTCTGCTCAGTGTTTGTCTGTTTTTAATATTTCTTTCTGGATTTTATAATACTTAGATAGTTTTTTTTCCATTGTGGACTACTCAGTGCTCTAGTTTACTGAAAGATTGCATCAAGGTTTGTGGATTTTGGCATTTTCCTTTGGGAAGCTACTCTGCTCTACTTTGTTTGGCTACTCCATAGGCCACCTGTTAGCCTTTTAAACCTACTCAAGACTCTGGGAGCTGCTGCAGTGTGGCTAGATTGCAGCCAAGATCTGCAGCAGTACCAACAACAAGAAAAGCTCAGTAGCCTGAGGCCTACCTCATCCACCCAGCTCTGCAGCCTGAGGCCTACCTCATCCACCGAGTTCTGCAGCCTGAGGCCTACCTCATCCATCCAGCCCTGCAGCCTGAAGCCTACCTCATCCACTCTGCCCTGCAAGCCTGAGGACTACCTCATCCACTCTGCTCTGCAGCCTGAGGCCTACCTCATCCACCCAGCCCTGCAGGGAGCCTGAGGCCTACCTCATCGACCCAGCTCTGCAGCTTAGGCCTATTTCAACTTCCATCATGGCGAGTATAATTCTCACCCTCCTGGCTTTGCTCTGTTTGCCTTTATTTTCAGAGTATGAAGCCAACCAGGAGATCCCAGTGTCTGTAGCGTTTCCTTACATGTTCTTTGTATGTCATCACGGTCAAAGGTTACTAGCTGGGCGCAGGACTTTGATATCAATCAAGGGTGCTGGATGCTTGAAATGAGCCAGGTTTCAAAGCATGTAAACTTCAATTATCTTTTAAGCCTTCTTGTCCTAAAGGACTGCTTTATCCCATCAAATGACTCTTGGCCTATTACGATAAATGATGTCGCTAAGAAAATCAAGAAGCATTTTCATGAAACACGCATGTTGAAATGTATGCTTATGCTTATGTTGTTGATATCAGGGAATGTTCAGCCTAACCCAGGCCCTGTGTCTGATGTGATATCACTACAAACCCCTGCTGAATTTTTGAATAGGTCTGGTATTGGTTTTGTACATATGAATGTGAGAAGTCTTTTGCCCAAAATTGATATGGTTAGAATTTGGGCCAAATCAACAAATGTTGACATTATGGTTTTATCTGAGACATGGCTGAGTAGATCCACGCCTGATAGTCATATTTATTTGGATGGGTATAATATCTTTCATGCTGATCGCCGTGCCAAAGGTGGAGGCGTAGCAATTTATGTTAAAAATACATTTTAGGCAACAGTACAATTATCCAAGTCTGTGCCTAAACAATTTGAATTGCTTGTCTTGAAAGTTGAATTTACGAAGAGCTGTGTTATGACAGTAGGGGGATGTTATAGACCTCCTTCTGCCTTAAAGGATACACTACTCTCATTGTCTGACTGCTTATCAACTATTAACTACAATGATCTGCTTTTAATAGGGAATTTAAATTGGGATTGGTTAACCCCTGCTTCTGATTCTTTTAAATGTTTCTGTGACTCAGCCCTTTTGGCTCAAATTATTGACTCACCAACTAGGCCAAAACCTAAACACCCTGAGAAGTCGACACTCCTTGACTTGATTTTAACCAATTTTCCCCAGAAATACAAGGCTACCACTGTGTTTGCAAATGATGTTAGTGATCACTGCGTTATTGCTTGTGTGAGAGACACAAAGTTATCAAAAAGTAAACCCCGTATCATACTTAGGCGTAATTTTAAGTCATTTTCTGAACAAGCCTTTTTAAATGACATATATCTATGTGATTGGACCAGGGTAAATTTGATTCCAGATGCTGAGACAGCTTTACAGTATTTTAATTCCTCACTTTTGGACATTATAGACAAACATGCTCCTCTCAGAAAATACAAGGTTAAAGGTCGTGATAATCCATGGTTTTCTGATTTAATTCATAAACGAGATCTTGCCTGGGCAACTGCAAGAAATCCAAAAATAGCTCAGACTGGCAACTTTTTAGGCACCTGAGGAACAAGTGTGTCTCTCAGATACGTAAAGCCAAAGCCGATTTTTATCTTAATGAAATTTGTGACAGTGCAAACAACGCTTCTAAATTCTGGAAAATGATTAAATCTCTGTCTTCAGGGTCAAAGGATACTGTGCTGCCAAATACATTAAAGTTGAATGATGAGACCATTACAGACAAGAAAAGTATGCTAGATTCTTTGAACCAGCACTTTATATCTTCTGGGTTGTTGTTTGAGCAGGACATACCACAAGTGGTGAGTCAACAGGATCACTCATTGTCCAGGGAAAATCTACCTTTTGATTTTGATCTTGCACCTTTGTCTAGAGATGAGGTATATGGTGCTCTCTTAAGGTTAAATGCCAGTAAATCCCCCGGTCCTGATGGGTTGGGTGCTTTCTTTTTAAAACTTGCTGCTGAGCATATTGCAGACCCCCTGACTTATGTTTTCAATCGGACTATAGAAATTGGGATAATACCTAGCATTTGGAAATCAGCATATGTCACTCCTTTACTGAAGGGTGGTGACCGGTCTGATCTCAATAATTATAGGCCGATATCCAAATTACCTGTTTTGGCCAAGGTCTTGGAAGGGCTTATAAGTGATCAACTGAAAAATTTCTTGACATCAAATAGCATTTTAAATGAATTACAGTCTGGTTTCCGTAAAAAACACAGCACAGTCACTGCCATGATGAAAGTGTTAAATGATTTCATTTGTTCTATTGACTCTAAAAATGTAACTGATGCCAATTTCCATTTTTATGCAGATGACACCGTTTTGTATTGCTCAGCTCCAACATTAGCTAGTGCAACAGAATGTCTGCAGTCTGCTTTTAATGTTATTCAGAAAAATCTCTATCAATTAAGACTTGTACTAAATACTGATAAGACTAAAATGATGTGCTTTTCAAAATCATTGAGATCACATGATGTCTGTCAGATTGATACTCTAAATGAGAAATTAGTCGAACGAGTTTCTGTCTACAAATACCTGGGATTTCACTTGGAAGAAAATTTGTCCTTTAGGCACCATATTGAATATCTTACAAAGAAACTCCGGGTGAAACTGGGTTTCTTCTATAGAAACAAGGGTTGTTTCTCCTTTGGTGCAAGAAAAAGGCTTATACAGGCAACGTTTTTATCCATACTTGATTATGGTGACTTCTTATATATGCATGCAAATCTCTCTTCTTTAAAAATGCTGGATTCAGTGTATCATGCGGCATTAAGATTTGTAACTGGCTTAGATTTTCGTACTCATCACTGCAGTGTTGGTTGGTCCTCTCTGCAAAATCATAGATTGGAACATTGGTATATCTTTCTTTACAAGGCCATTCTAGGTGACTTGCCCTCTTACCTATGTTCCCTCTTAACTCCCAAAATCACTAACAGGAGTAATCTCCGGTCTGATGGACAGATCATGTACGCTATTCCTCTGACAAGGACGGGTTTTGGCGCAAGCGCTTTCAAGGCTTTTGCACCCTCCTCCTGGTGTAAATTACAGGGTTATTTTAAATTGGATTATCTGCCAAGTATGGCACATTTTAAAACTAGAATTAAGGAGTTTTTGAGTACTGAATGCACGTCTTCTTACTGAACACTGATTTATTGTTGTGTTTGCATACTGTAACTGTTTTGTGTTTCTGTGTGTGTGTTTTTCTTTTCTTTATGTGGAACTTCTTGTGCTGCTATCCTGGCCAGGACTCCCTTGTAAAAGAGATTCTGAATCTCAATGGGTTTATTTCCTGGTAAAATAAAGGTTACTAACTAACTAACTAATTCAATATAAATGACAACAAATAAACCGTTTACAAATGTACCCACAGATGTCCAGTTACATGATTATGTTAGCATGCTATTTATTTAATTAACTTGACCCTCAATTGCAGTGTTCACTACTATGTTTGTTTTTGATGCAAAGAAGATTCTGGAGCCATGGTGTTTCCAGAGGGACTGTTCCAGAGAGATCGCATTAAAAGACTGAATGTGTCACAACAGTGTCTTGATGACTGTCTCATCTCAACAACTTTGGCAAATGTGCATTACTTTTCCAGGACTGTGGAGGCTGCATCAAGTACATCCTTCACAGCCCAGCATATGCTTTAATTCTTTGTGTACAAATACCATAGACTGTATAGGATGGACGCCGTCTTCCTCCTTGCTGGGTGAAGCCACCCTGAGAACAGCATCCGCTGGTGACAGGCTGGAGTATAGGTCATAAATCCCTTCTCCTCCAGCAATCCCTATGAAGCTGTGGACAAACTTTAAAAATGTATTTCACAGAATATACATCTTTCTCCCCCCTGGTTGCAATGTTGACATGTAGTTACTGTAAGACTGGTTTGTGCTCTAGTTCTCTTTTTTCTGTCCAGTTCCATTTTAAAAAGTTATTAGGGGGTTCATGTTTTGTATGATTGACACTTGATACAGCCTATGGGCGAACAAAGACTGCATAGCACACCAGGGACATGCTGTTTGAGCCAAGCGTCATTACAGCGACTCAAGGTGACTCTCCTGCTGAATGTGTACAATGCTACTGCTCAAGGGGTAGAATGCGTACAACTCTACTGCACAAGTGGTGGTTCCAAGAAGTAGAGAAAATCCTGAAAATACCAAAAGCAATTTGGCTTCAAATTTGTGTAATGACAGAAGACGGAGCCAAGTTGTCCATAGTACATACAGTCTATGGAAAATACTTATGGGATGGTTGTTAGCCAGGTATCTGCCTCTTGCTAAGGAACTAGAGTGACACTATGGGCTCTATTTTCGTGCCTCGCCGGAGACGTGCCGCAGGCGCGGCGCAAGTCAGGTCCGATGCGCCGACAAGGCGTTCCCAAGCACAATTTGGTATTTTGGTGAGAGGCGCAGCCCGGCGTAAGTATCCCCCCCTCCCTAACTCAGCTCCTCCCAGCGGCGCAAGTTGTAGCGAGGGAGGAGAGAGGGCGTGGAGTGGGTTTAACACAGCCAAGACCTGTTTTCATCAATCACATAAGCGCCTTTCCTTGCCTTTAAATCCGCCACCGGCGAGGTGTATAACTATTTTCGTGAAGTAGTCAAAGAGATCAAGAGATGTCTGAAGACAGTAATGCCACAAGATGGCGACAGAAGGCAGCTCCTCAACAAGTGTCACTGTAAGTGCTGCAGAGGGCGTCCTTCACACTCTCTCATATGAGCACAGATGGATTTGGTGTGTGTAATGTTGGACCCACTGGTGAGACGAACACCCTTTTCCACAAATAAAGACACTCACATAAAGTTGCATATATTCAAACCTCACGTGACAAAGGTGGGTTGAGCGCACAGATCACAACATAAACCCTAAAAATGGCATTAAAATCGGAAACATCTGTGTGTAATGACGCATCACGCTCCGTGGCCTGGCTCTTTCTTTCATAGATGTTGGCATATAAAATAATTTTTGGTCACAAAACTGAATAGTATAATATCTGTATGTAGGCTTAAAGTAAATAACTCATCTGAGCACTGACACAAATCATCTGTTCGGCCGCTGCAGCAGCTGCAGCTGCAGCAGCAGCTGCAGCAGGACGGAGAGAGGACACAGACAGATGTCCAGGTCGAGCTGCGCAAGAAATAAGAGGAAGAGGAAGAAAGAAAAGGAGGGAGACAAATAAAATATCTTGTTACCTTCATCATGTGTGTCTATTTACTAGATATTTAATTTAATTTAACACGGTTTCAGCTGTGTTGATTCGGTCAGGTTGTGTGTCCAAACGCGTGCCAAACATGCTCATCAGATCAGATATAGATCAGAATATATCTATATAGATCTAAATGTATGTGCTGATTCAGATTATTAGTTGCTGATGATTATTTATTGCACTGAAATATGCCTGACACTGTGGAAACCTGCCTGTGAGGCATCGGTGACGTATGCCGATACGCCGCCGGTCTACCAAAATACCACTAGACCAGCTGCGCTCCGCCTGTGCTGAAAGCTGACCAGGTTTGAATCGGCGAGCATTCAGCGCACTTTACACACCACTGGCGAGCACGAAAATGTCACTGTGCCCGCTGATTCTGTCGACACCTCCACGCCCAGTTTGGTGGATCTCGGTTCCCCTCAGTGTGCCTCAGTCCACAAAAATACCAAACTGGCTGTACGCCGGGCTCTGCCAGACGAAAATACAACTGCACGAGGTCCGCCAGCCTCCGCCGCCTCACCGGCGTACACGACAATAGAGCCCTATGTGATGCCAGGGTAGGGATAGTGTCATAAGCATGCAATTCTCCAAAGGGAAGACCATTTTGATTCAGTTTGGCATAACTGGTCTATTCAGGCGACGACTGCTGGATTCTTTGCAGGCTGCAGCACCTGGACTGGGATGCAGCTAATATTTAGTGTCAGTATATTCATTAGCTGAGTTGGAAGCTGGGTAATAAGTAGGGTAACACATAGTGAATGGAAAGTTATAGACATCATAATCCAACTGGGATGAATCCCTACAGAGTGAGTCTAGACCCCTTTGTTTTATATTGGGATCTGGACTTGAAGCAGCAGCATCAAAAAGAAGATCTGGATTTGGTTCTTTATGTTTCCACAGCAAATGCATGCTTTGACAAGGGCCACATCTGGACCACAGTGTGTGATTGTGCACATGAAAATTTGAGCCCTTATCCTGCAAAAATACACAAATGTCATCTGATAGGTCACCAGAATCCACATGAAAGGTACATTCAGTGCCTTTAATATAAAGCAAATGTGTAATCAGATGAAAGGATTTGAGTTAGGACATTTTTTTGGGTCAAAGGACAACTTCACTGCTACTTCATATCTTGAAAAAACACTCCTCTGGTCATGAGTCCAGTCTTATTCCTCAAAACTTAATCCCTCAGAAATAAGAAGAACTTTATTAAGAAGAACGTTAATAATCCCCGAAGGCAAATTCAATTGTTTGTTGTTTAATATAATATGTCTCTAAAAGTTATCTACTATTTACACAAGAGTTATAGTTATAAGTCTGAGGGCTGTTGGTACAAAAGATCTTCTGAATCTTTCTGTCCTGCAGTAGAGAGAGGAATCGTCCACCACCATTTGCCCTTTGGTCCATCCAGGTGTTGTGAAGTGTGTGATTCATGTTCTTGAGAATAGTCTCCACCTTCCTCAGTGTAGATCTCTCTCCACCACATCATCCACTGAGTCCAGCTTGAGTTCTACCACAGAGCCAGCCTTTTTCACCAGTTTGTTAAGACGTCTTGCATCTTTGTGTTTGATGCTTCCTCCCAAGCAGACTGCAGCGTAGAACAGAACACTTGCCACCACAGACTGATAAAACATCTGCAGCGTCTTACTACAGATGTCTATTGATCGGAGTCTTCTCAAGCAAAAGAGGCAGCTCTGCCCCTTTTTGTAGACTAAGTCTATATTCTTAGACCAGTCTAACTTATTATCTAGATGTACACCTAGGTATTAATATGATGTCAGCACTTCCATGTCCACTCCACAGGTGTTCACTGGCTGAAGAGGGGGTTTGGATCAACGAAGTCTATCACCATCTCCTCTGTCTTTGGGGTGTTGAGGAGGAGGCAGTTTTTGTGACTCCAGTTACTTAAGGCTCTTATTAGATCTCTGTATTCAGCTTCTTTTTCATTGCTGATACATGCCACAGGATGTGGCAGGACTCGGTGCTGTATTTGAAGTCTGACGTGTACACAGGCAGCATCCACTCCCATCTCTGTGAGCTTGTCTTTGAGTATGGTGGGTTGGATGGTGTTGAATGCACTTGAAAAGTCAAAGAACATGATCCTCACATAATCTCCAGGTTCCTCCAGATGAGAAAGGGCGCGGTGAAGCATGTAGAGGACAGCATCACCCACTCCAATGTGTTCTTTGTATGCAAACTGCAGGGAGTCCAGTTTGTCTTTGACCTCAGACCTCAGAAGGTGTAGAACCAGCCGCTCCAGGGTTTTCATGATGTGTGAAGTGAGGGCCACTGGTCTGTAGTCATTGAGTTCAGCAGGACATTTTGTTCTTGGTACTGGCACTATGCAGGATGTTTTCCTCAGAGTAGGTACCTGCCCCAGCTGTAGACTCAGATTGAAGATCCTGTGGAGAGGTTGACACAGTTCTGCAGCACAGTCTCTAAGCAGCCTTGGACACACACCATCTGGACCAGCTGCCTTTCCAGGACAAAGTCTTCCAAGCTCCATCCTCACCCCTGTTTCTGTGACAGACAAGGACTGGTGTTCTAGGAGGGAGGCAGTTGAAGTGGTTGAGACATCTGAACGAGATGGAGGAGTAAGGGGAGAAGTTGTAGTGGAGATTTGTTGTGGAGAGGAAGGTGGAGTAGCAGTGGAAGTGGGTGTGACAGCAGTGTCAAATCTGTTGAAGAACAGGTTGAGTTCATCAGCTCTTTCCAGATCACCCACCACTGGCTGTCTTTTCTTTTGATGGCTGTGTCCAGAGATGGTACTGATTCCTCTCCACACTTCACGGATGTTGCTGTGTTGTAGATTCTTCTCTATCATCTTTTTGTACTCCAGCTTTGCCATCTTCAGTCTCCCCTTTAACTCTTGTTGCACTTGTTTGAGTCGTTCTTTGTCACCATCTTTAAAAGCTTTCTTTTTCTGGTTAAGGATTGCTTTTATGTCACTTGTGATCCAGGGTTTGTTGTTGGGGAAACAGCGAACAGTTTTTGTGGGTATAACTGTGTCTCTACAGAAGTTTATATATTCAGTAAAGCAGTCAACCTGTTGGTCAATATTCATACTATCCACATCTGTTTCCAGCAGCACATTCCAGTCTGTTGATTTAAAACAGTCCCTTAGAGCTTCTCTGGCTTGAGGTGTCCATCTTCTGATTTGGTCGCAGGCTGCCTCAACACACAACATCTGTAACAGGTTTGCAGATAGACCAAGTTATGATCTGATTTGCCCAGTGGTGGTAAGGCAGGGGCTCTGTAGGCTTTTGTGACATTGGCATACAGCAGATCCAGGGTTTTGTTTTCTCAGGTAGGACAGTTCACAAACTGTGTGAATCCAGTCAGGTGAGAGGAGAGGGTGACATGGTTGAAGTCTCCTGATATTATTATTAGTGCCTCTGGGTGTTGAGTCTGTAGCCTGGAAACACTATTATGCAAAACATTGCAAGGAATTTCTTCAGTTGATTTGGGTGGAATGTAAACAACTTCTGTTATGATTGAGTTCTCTTGGAACATAATATGGCCGAAGAGCAACTGACATCAATATCTGGACAACACAACTTCTCCTTGACAGTTATGTGTGAAGGATTACACCATCTCTGGTTGACACATAAAGCCAGACCTCCTCCTTTCTTCATGCCACTAGCTTGAGCATCTCTGTCTGACCTTATGTGAGTGAAGCCAGGTAGATCCACACTGGCGTCCGAGTGGTTTTGATTCAACCAGGTTTCAGTAAAACACGGGAAACTGCACTCACGGTATGCTTTCTCAGTCTTCACCAATATCTCCAGCTCATCGCTTTTGTTGGGCAGAGAGTTGTTGTTTCCCATGATGATTGATGGAAGAAAGGGTTTATATCGCCACCTCCTAGCATTCAGCTTTGCCTTCACCTTTGCACCAGCACGGCAACAACGATAACACCGCCTGATGTCCTCTGGAATTGTATGTTGTTGTCCAGATTTGCTTTTCCTCAAAGAAAGGAGCTCTTCTCTTGAGCATACTCTTCACCCAGTAGAAGTATCCATCAGCAGCCAACAAAATGACAACAAAAATATGAAGAAAACTCTAGCAAAAATTACAGATAATACAGAGAGACCAGACTTGCAGCAACCTTTCACTCCAAGTGCATCATTTGAACAATGGGGAATGGGTGGCACATACATGCACAATATGCGTCTGGATGTTTTCTGTTTAATCATGTTGAGACATTTTAGTTTCCCCTTTAGTTAACTGTAATACAAAATCATGAATATAATGGCTAACGTGGCTATGTTTTGACTGCCAAACATATACATTGGTGTGCTTGAGCGTGCTCCAGTTCAGATTTCACATGACACAAAAGGCAGTGGAGCTTGTATGTACATCCATACTAAACACTCATGTGTGAATGTATTCAGAGCTGCTTCTGTTCTGCCAGACACTCCTGAGAACCCGAGGTGTCGACTGGACCTTTTCACATCTGCAGGCCTGTCAAATCAAGCCTGTCTCCAAACAACCTTGGCTCCTGCCTGACAGAGACTCAGAAAATCCTCCTGTAACTACATCTGTTGGTTTTGGCTCTCTACAGCGTCAGGCACAAGCATAAAAGATATAGGGTTTCAAATTATTTGAAAGGCTTGAGGTGTGCTTGATTTGTCTGCAGGACTACTGGAGCTGTCTAAGAAAAAGGCCTTCTCACTGTGAGATCTTGGATTTAGCAGTCTACGTTTCTTCCAAACTGGTAAAACGTTCCCAAAACATTTAAGCCTTAGCTTTTCATCTCTGCCAATTTCTTTTTCTCTACAATCACTTTAATACACAAAGTCTACAAACAGATCTGTCCATGATCAGAGTTTTTGTTTGAGTGTTTACATGCATTTACACTGATCGAAGCAAATTCCAGGCAAAGTACAATGGGACACAGTACAAAATTATACAACGATTTATC